AAACTCCAGTTTAGCATTTTTGGTTTTAACTAATAAAAATCTGCCTTATTTTAATACTAATCAGCAAGTCTTTGCTTCCAAACATGTTAAACTGTGCAGTGAAAAGTTTTTGCCACCTTCCTGATTTTGTAGTTTTTTGCATATTTGTTAAATTTAAATGTTTCAGATCATCAAACAAATTTTAGAATTAGAAAAGATAAGCCAAGTAAATAACTGGGTTAGTTATTAAAACGTAATAAGTGATTGTGCCGCCTTCGGCAGAAGCAGTCTGCAAGGCCTGCAAGACATGGTGATGCTGCATAAGCAGAGAAACCTTGAGCTTCAGGGTATAAACTCATGGCCGGAAATTCTTCTTCAGGATTTTATGGTACAGAGCAGAATTCATGGTTCCATCAAGTACAGCAAGTTGTCCAATTCCTGAAGCAGAAAAACAGCTCCCGAACGTCACCACCACCATGTTTGACTGCTGGTATGAAATTCTTTTAGGAGATGTAACAGGAACGAAAGCTTCCAAGAAGTTCACCTTTCGTCTCGTCAGAGAATATTTTCTAAAAAGTCTTGGAAGTCATCAAGATATTTTTGGTAAATGTAAGATGAGTCTTTGTATTCTTTTGGTCAGCACTGGTTTTTGCCTTAGACTCTCACACTGATGCTATTTTTGCACAGTCTCTTTTATGTTGTTCACTTGTGGAGTGACTTTAAGTCAGACAAGTTAGGCCTGCAGTTCTTTAGACCAGGGGTAGGCTACTCCGGGCCTCAAGTGTCGGTGTCCTGCAAGTTTTAGATGTGTCCTTGATCCAACACAGCTGATTTAAATGGCTAAATTACCCCCTCAACATGTCTTGAAGTTCTCCAGAGGCCTGGTACTAAACTAATTATTAACACCTGCAGGACACCGGCACTTGAGGCCTGGAGTTTTTCTACCTCTGCTTTAGATGGTCTTCTAGGTTCATTTGTGACCGTTGATCATCTTGGAGTAATTTTGGTAGGATAGCTGCTGCTGAGAAGATTCACCACTGTTGTAAGTTTTCTCCATTTGTGGATAATGACTCTCACCGTGGTTCACTGAAGTTCTAAAGCCTTAGAAATGGCTTTGTAACCCCTTTCCAGACTAATAGATGTCAATGACTTTGCTTCTCACCATGCTTTCTGAGATCTTTTAGCCTACTTCACTTCGCCATCCAGCTTCTTTTTAAGGGATTTCTCAATTCAGCTGGTCTGGCAGTAATCAGGCCTGCGTGTGATGAATGTACTGAACATGTCAGCTTTCCAAAAACAATGTGGAAAATCAGAATTAAGTCACGTCATAACATAACAAGAAAGAAATCCTGAAGAGGACAACCGCTGTTTCGCTGCACTGTAGTAAACTTGCTATCTTCCAATCAGCAGCAACGTTTTTGAAAGGCGCTGTATTCAAAATCTTGGCAAAGCTCAACACAGAACTAGTAATAGTAACAGTGATAACTGTCATACACAAGTTGCCTCACGTGTTGTGCTCCCAACTTAATGCATTTTCTTTTTCTCTGTGTCTCTCAGCGTATTTTTTCTAGGTGCAGTGCTGGTTATTGCTGCCACATTTCTTTACGGCTATGAGCAGAAACCTGCCAGCAGCAGCACCAACAAAGTGTAATCAGAGACTTGCGTGAATTGTGGCTCCACGAACTGTGACCAGGAATTTGCCACATGAACAATTTCATTACAGAAAAAGTAAAGACAAGTTACTGGTAAATACAGTCTTTTGGAAGTGGACCTTCTCTGAAAAAGTCCAAAATGGATAATAGCAGTGACTCATGTGAAAGCTATTGTTTTGAGCATGTCAGGTAAACTTAAGAACTTAACAGAAAAGCAAACAGCGTAAGGAGAACAGGAGAACATGATAAGCAAACCTTATCCTTGCTGGCAAACTAATGTGAAACTAGTTCACGTGTGTCAGTATTAGAACTGTGACCTTCCACCTGAAGAGGTACAGGTGTTACATTTAAGCTTTGGGTTGCTAAAGAATTGTAATTTTAAAATGATCACGTCTTTTGAAGAAGTGGCACATAATATTAGTGCAAATGGAAAGTCCAGCCACCCATTCGCTTCCGCTTATCCTTTTCAGGGTCGCGGGGGCAAATGGAAAGGGTTTCTTTAGATATCAGCAGAGACGTTTTGAAAAAGCACAACAGCATATTGCACTTACTAGATCCCTACAAGCACGTGCTAAAATAATAATAACAAAGGAGCGCGTCGCATCAGATTTTTATAATCTGTCTGGATCCTCCACCACACTGCAAAGGTGCTCTACTGGAGGCTGTTTGAGTACAGCGAGCTGTCATGTTCAAAAAAACAGTTTGACATGATTTGCGCTTCATGATAGGGTCGATTATCCTGTTGGAAGCATCAGAAGATGGGTCGTTAAGGGATAGACGGGTTTAGCAACAATACTCAGGGCTGTCATACATACAAGGGCTTGTGTTCTGCTTAAAGCATGCCAGGAAAATACCTCTAAAACTATCATGTATTAACTGTAACCCCAGTTTCTTAGCTGACAGCAGGTTCGATGTGTTATGCATTCAGAGATGCTCTTCTCCCTACCTTGACTGTAACAAGTGTTTATTTGAGTCACTGTTGTCTTCCTGTCATTTCAAAGCAGTCTGATCATTCTCCTCTGAACTCAACAAGGCATTTTCACTACTGTGCACAGTTTTCTTACCTGTTTGGATCATTCTTTATGAACTGTAGAGATAGTTGTGTGTAAAAATAGACCAGCAGTTTCTGAATTACTCAGACCAGCCTGTTCAAAGTCAATGAAATCAGTGTTCTTCCACATTCTGACACTCAGTTTTCAGCAGCTCATCCTGACTATGTCAACATGGCCTAATGTGCAGAGTTGCTGCGATGTGATTGGATGATCGTAGATATCCAATGAGCAGTCTGACAGGTGTACCTAATGAAGCTGCCACTGAGTGTAAGCTTAAGATTACATTTAACATATTCCAGACACTGCAAAACACGGTGTGTAGAAAAATTAAAA